CACTGGGTGTTATATGCAAACAATGAATCATGGAACACTACATCAAAAACTAATGATGTAATGTATGGTGATTAACATAACATAATAAAAAAAAGCAGTGGATGTGTCTTGCGTGTTTTACATTTTACATATTTGATTTAGCATAGACTCATTTGTGGGAGCTGCCTTTATCCTCCATGTAGGTGCGATGTAAGTATGTGTAAGCATGGGTATGTATAGCCGAACATGTATTTAAATGGAGGGAGGCCTTAGAAAACTCCTTTTGTGTTAACTACTCTAATGTACGCAAATGTTTTTCTGTCACTTATAAATACACAGGGTGAACACTGAATATGCAGAGGGTAGTTGATCCTAGGATTAAGATACAGGAGGTTAAAAAACAAGGTCGTCTTGTAAAATAATTATGAATAACTTTTTTAAAAATTAGGAATAACTTTTTAACTAATTAAAATTGTTACATTATCTCTTTATTCTACTCTTAAGTTCTGTTTGTATGGAAATTAGATACTTAGAATGGAAAGAAAAAAGAAAAAAATTATCTCCTTCAGACCATACCCTGTTCCCTTCTGAAATTATTCTATTGTAAAAGTAAGCCCCCGGATACTCAGATTCGTGGCAGTCTGTGTGGGACAGGGAGCTTCCTTAGATAGGGCCATCCTGTCACCTTTCCCCTAGTCACCATTGGTCCCTCAGCCCTGGGGCCCCGGGCTCTTTTTCTCTCCATTGGTCACTGATTAACTCTGGGAAGAGATACACTGGAGAGCAGGGGAGCTCTCGGGTTCATGGGGGAGCGGCTGAGGATCGCTCTGAGTTAGAGACACCTTTTTCTCACCAAGGATATGACAATCGCTTTCCTAGACTTTTCCCAGATGCCTATTTCCATTCGGTTTAATTCAACACAGTTCCGGGAGGCTAGAGATATTCTGGGCAGCAGATAATGACCTTATCTCAGCTCCCATCAGGTCTGGATTCTCTCTCCAAGGGCTCTGATACTCAATTCTAATGGCCTTGTGCTGGTTCTTTGTAGGCTTCTTTCCTGTCTCTCCTAGATAGTTGTCTCGGGGCTGCATCAGTACCTGGTGGCCCCAGCCTCTTTACCACCCCACATCACCCCATGCATCTTATGTAAGAGACTTCTGCTCCCTCTCTCTAGCCCCTGGAACTGCAGAATCACCTGACCCAGTGGTTTCTCTGCTCCTAATCACCATGACTAAACAACCAAGCTGCCTCTGTGGCAGTTGTTTTGATCCTTATCTTTTAACACTGCAAGCTTTTTTTTATTTCTTTGACCTATCTTATCTGATCTTATCTCCTGCCCCTCTCACCCACCCCTCTCATTTTATTTACCATGACTTATAAATGAGGAGCTCTGACCGACAGCAATCCTCAGAGCAGTGTCTTCCTACGTACTTTCTTTGGAGAGAGAAGTCATTCTGGCTTCAACTAGTATTTCTCAGGCAGCAGGTGAGCAAAAACAATTTTTTTTCTTTTTATGGGAGCCAGTTCAAGCCACAGAATAATGGTTAGATTAAAAAAATAAAAGTTTTATTAAGTCCTATGGCATATATATATATATATACACACACACACACACATACATATATTCTTATTCTTACACTGTAAATGACTGTATCAATCGGATTAATGTCCATAAGGAAGTCAAAAGTGTTCTAGTCATTAAATATTACTAAGTAACAAGAATTCAAATGAGTAAATTTAAACATCATATTGGCTTCATTTGATGATTCTTGAATCTGGCAGCATTTCAATCTATTAAAAAAGTCCCACTGAGTTTTAGAAAAGGGAAGGTTTTTGAAGGCAGAGAGGGAGTGAAAAAAGAAATTATTTATCAAACAATGCATTATTTTAGGCAAGGTGGCTCTCCCAAGGGGAGTTTAAGGATTAATTCCTAGTGCAGGCCCGTGGGAAATTCTAGGTTAGCTAATTAAAGTTCACATTTAGGGGAGAAGCTGAAGCTGCAATGAGGTTAGGTATTAAGTCTTGGTGGGGTTTAGAGTAAGTGACTCCATTTTGGGCCTATTGTCTTTTTAACAATATTAATATCTAGGCATATATATATATAGTAGGAACACAGAGGCAGATTTCTCATCTTTTATCATACAGAACACACTATAACGCTGACTCAGGTCCCACAGGTGAAGGGCTCAGTCCCCCAAACTGCCCTCTCCCACCTTCAGATGCCAACTGTAAGCCCAGGTTCTCACCTGTGCTCCTGACTGCCTGGCTATGGAAAGGAGCATCCAAGGACCCCCTCCTTCAGTTTGGTTAATTTGCTATAGGGACTCACAGACCTCAGAAACATTTTTTTTTTAATTTTATTTTCAGATTTTATTTATTTGAGAGAGAGTGAGCTAGAGAGAGAGCATGAGCAGGGGCAGGAGCAGAGGGGGGCAGAGAACCACTGAGCAAGGAGCCTGATGCGGGGCTTAATCCCTGGACTTTGGGATCATGACCTGAGGCAAAGGCAGACGCTTAACCGACTGAGCCACCCAG